ATCAAACTCCCTATCTCGTCATAATTGAACTAGCGCGACAACATTGTTAACGATTACACCACCATGAAGTGCCCAAAAGTGATTTTCTAATCCTAGCTTGGTTGTGGCACATGGTTGAAAATATGGAGCACCCAATAAAGATTGTGTTCATTACACATTCGTAATTGATTTAACAGTATCGGTAACAATTACACTACATCGATGTGCCTAGCCGGATTTATATAATAGAATGATATATCTGCAATTTCTCTCATCATATATACGTCAATATAGTCATTGTGTTCTGAATTCTTTATAGATAAGTCTCTTCATAGATTTCATGATAAATATTTCTTTTAATGTACAACAAAATCTATTGCCATTATCATAATTATTAATAGAATTTACCGGAGTAGGAGGAGACAAAAAGATGTTGCAGTGGGAGTTTTCCTGTTACTGGCTGGAACATAAAGAGTGATGTATCGTTTAAATGCATGGCTTGTCAGAATGTTGATTTGAGGCATTGAAGTGACGGGAGTCTAGAAAGGAGAATTGTGGAAACTAGCAGAAAATCTGTATAGAAAAGCGTTAAAGAAAAAAGAACGTGTTGACTGTTAGGAAGAGGGTATGATTCAAAGAGAAGAGGTGATGGTGGAAGACGGGTAGATATTGATTGAAAAATAGGTGAAAAATTGATAGCTGAGTTATTTTGTATTTATTTCTAAATGAAGGAGAATATAATCCGTGGGAAGAATATGTTGAATGCATAAAAGAAAGAAAAAAGCAACACACTTTATTGCTTAGATAACGTTAAGAGCAATTATGAAAAGGGAATCTTCGGTTTGATCGGAGCCTAAATAGTGAAGTGACGTAGTGGCAAATTTAGGGATGATGGCTGGGAAGGATTAAACGAGCATTTTGTAAGGAAAAGAAAACAAAGTTAAAAATGATGATTATGTAAAAGAAAGAATGAAAAGGTAGGAACAATAAAAAAGAAAGTGAATCATTAAAGAGAAAATTGAAATAAAGAAAGAATAAACATATAAAGAAAGAAAGAATAAATCCAAAGATACGAACAATGAAAACGAAAGAATTATTAAAGAGAAAATTAAAATAACGAAAGGAGAAATAGATAAAGAAAGAAAGAGTGAATGCAAAGGTATCAATAACGAAAAAGACTCATTAACACAAAATTAAAATAATGAAAAGTGAATCATATAAAGATATAAAGAATGAATGAATGAAAAGGTAAGGACAATAAAATAAGAAGAAAATCAGTATTAAAAAGTGAAATATAAATTAATGAAAAAAAAACCGCTAGGAGATATGGAAACATAATCATTAAATAAAAAAGTAAAATTTAGATGCCAAAATGAAAAAAAAATACATTAAACTCTATGAGAAAATAATAAAATATGATATTTTAAAAAATTCAAATCACAATAAGAAGAATGAAAGAATTGATATTTTATAAGGAATGAATAAATAAGAGAAACCTTAATTATATAATGAAAGAAAGTATGACAACCTTCAATATTGGAGAGAAAAACAAAATATAAAATAATAAAAAGAAAGAAATATAGAAGAAAACGAAAAAAAATAATCATCAAAATGAAAACAAGTGCAAGAATTAGGGGAGAAAAAAGAAAGAAATTATCATTAAATACAAAATTAAAAAAAGAAAGGAGAAATATGAAAAAATAAAGAAAAAATAAAGAAATCAGTAAGATATATGAAGGACATGAAAACATTCGACGAACAAATCAAGTAAACAAATCTTGGTCGAAAACAGAAAATGACTAAATCAATTAAGAAAAAATAGAAAAATAATAAAAAGTAACAAAGATGGTAGGCCATATAAACAAATGGGAAACAGGATAACGAAAATCAAAAGAAAGTAAAAAAAAACAACGGAAGTGTAAAATGAAAAATGATTAAAAGAGAGAATATAAACAATAACAGAAAGAAAGAAAGAAAGAGAAATAATAATCAAGAGAAGAGGGATGCAAAGAAAGAAAGAAAGAAAGAAAAAAAGAAAGAAAGAAAGAAAGAAAGAAAGAAAGGAAAATAATAATCAAGAGAAGAGGGAAGCAAAGAAAGAAAGAAAGAAAGAAAGAAAGAAGGAACAAAAAATCAAGAAAGAAAAAATAATAATGAATGTAAGAAAAAGAAAGAAAGAAAAAAGAAAGAAATAAAGACAAATAATAATCAAGAGGGAAGCAAAGAAAGAAAGAAAGAAAGAAAGAAAGAAAGAAAGAAAGAAAGAAAGAAAGAAGGAACAAAAAAGCAAGAAAGAAAAATATTAATGAATGTGAGAAAAAGAAAGAAAGAAAAAAGAATGAAAAAAGAAAGACAAATAATAATCAAGAGAAGAGGGATGCAAAGAAAGAAAGAAAGAAAGAAAGAAAGAAAGAAAGAAAGAACGAGAAAAATATTCAAGAGAAGAGGGATGCAAAGAAAGAAAGAAAGAAAGAAAGAAAGAAAGAAGGAACAAAAAAGCAAGAAAGAAAAAATAATAATGAATGTGAGAAAAAGAAAGAAAGAAAGAAAAAAGAAAGACAAATAATAATCAAGAGAAGAAGGATGCAAAGAAAGAAAGAAAGAAAGAAAGAAAGAAAGAAAGAAAGAAAGAAAGAACTGCAAATTAAAAAATGAAGGATAGTATTAAAACACAATGGAATTAAAATTAAGGATAAATGTCAGAGAATAAATAGAAAAATATAAACGAAATATCTGCGGAAAAATTGGTCAAAATAAAAATAATTTGGAAAATGATGAACGGAACGAAATAAGGGCAAACAGTAACAACAAAAAAGTAATATAGAAAGAAAGAAAGAAAGAAAGAAAGAAAAAGAAAGGAAAAGAAATATCCCGCGTACAAGGGAATAAAAATAATTTACGAAGGCTGACAATGATCGAAAAAATTAAAATGGAGAAAGAGGAAAAGAACAAATGAAAACAAAAAAAAAAGGAATGTGCGAATAATATTAAGAAGGAAATTAAAGAAATAATATAAAGGAGAGTGATAAATTAGTCAATGTAAAAACGAATCAAATAACGAAAGAGTTACTAAAAAATGACAAAAAGGTGGGTGCAAAAGAATAATAAAAGAAAGAAAGAAAACAATAAAGAAAAAACAACAGAAAAAATTACAAAAAATATATATCTATATAAAAGGAAAACGAAGAAATTTTTCAGAAAATACAACCGTAAGGAAACATGAACAAGAAACGGTCGGGGATATAGACAACAAGAAAAAGAAAACAAGAAGAAAGAGGGACATGACTAAAGAAATGAATGACTCAATGACAAAGAAGAGCAAAGGAATAATCAATTAAATCCATGAGGAAAACACAAAAGAATTCTGTAATGTTCTCGTCACAACAAGAAAATCCCCCAAAAACGTCTGAGATTTTTTTTTATCAGGTTTGGAATTTAGGTCGAACTGAGAAATCTTTAGAAACCGTCGGAAGAAAAATCGACGAATGAGAAGACGATGAGAAAAATGAATAAAAACGATGAACGTAACAATGATGTGAGTGAAAAAAATTGTCAAATAAAAAAAAAAAAAAGAGAAATAAAACGCACCAGGGAAAATGACAGAAAGAAGTCAAATCTCCGAAAAAAATAGACAAGAAATCATTCAAAAATAAATGTAGATAGATTCAAAGAGACAAACATAAAACTGTTCAATCTAGATTTTTCTTTTCAAAAGTTCATGAAATAAAAAAAGGGAAGATAGGAATGAAGAGTATGATGTTTTAGCATTGGAAAAGGCACATATCATTTTTCTAGAAATAAAGGCCTTTCTATTTAGTTTACACTTGAATAAATAAAAGCAAATGGAATAACTGAAGTCAAGAAAGCTATCACTGAATAAAATGGAACAGTAAATTTAAGCACATCACTAGATTGGTGGCACGATCTCATTCTTTTTCATTTAAAATGGCTAGACATAACCGTAAGTTCTATGCTAACAGTTTCTTTTATCGTCTCGCATTTGGAAATATATTTAGAATTGTCATTGCTTAGTCTAGTTCGATCTTCAAAGGTTAAATGCAACATTAATTGTCTTCTTAATTCATGTTCTTTTAATGATCTCTGTGCTTAATAGTGGTATGTTATTGCATCTAAGTGGCTTTATTGCCTTGCATAGGATAAAATGATTAAAAACTATGTATATTTTATGAGTTTGTCTTACTAATACTCCATCAGATCAACGTCCTGGGTATGACGATAAACTACATCCGCGTCCTGGGTAAGACAATAAAATACGTCCAACAGCAAGGCCTCTGATCAGGAGGTATTGAGGCGCGTGGAACCACCTCTTAATTGCTGCTGTTTCCGAGTTCGCTCTGACCCGGGGTGGTAGCACCTGTGAGGGTCCCAGATGTCTCCAAACTGACGTCAAAACTCTATGAAAGTGTAAAAATAGGGTTTAATACCAGAAATAATTTGTAAAAACCAAAATTATTACTATCAATACATTTCGGAAAAAAAAAAAAAAAAAAAAACTTTATCAGAAAAAGATTTTTGGGAAATATATTACCAACAATGAAAATTTTGTCGACATTAAATAACCGACTGAGGTAGATATTCTGTAAAACAAAACAAACCTGACCAAACCAAATCCATCAGGTCAAGAGTCGGTTAATGTAAAACTGAATGAGATGTGTGATAGGAAGAGAAGAGGGAGGAATGAAGAAGGGAACGGAGAGATTAAGACAGATCCGAGATTTGAAAACGTTATTGTCATAGTGGTTCTTGTAAATGAGTTTTTATTTTCTGAAAAAAAAAATTCTTATTTGAATAACAAGGGAATAAGGACAGACAAATATTGAAACAAGACTTGAAAAAATGAACATAGTAGTGGTCGGGGAAACAGTTTAAGGAGTCTATACAACAAGTTAACAATTAAGAAACTAGGATGTGGAACTTCTTCCTTACAAATGAAATACGAAATGGGTGATGCTCATTAAGCGCACTATGTGCCTGATCCTAGCTGTTGGGATCTGGACAGGTGGATCTAAGAAAGGTAGCTGTCTGAACACGTCATTAAACTAGCGATAGAGTACAGAAAATTTAACAAAATTTCATTTGTGGAAAATGGTTTATAGGGTAGAAAATTATTCCTCATCCACACTGATAATTTTGAAGCCTGCGACACTAGAAAGGTACAATTGAGCACCTCCAGCCCGAACATGGCAGCAAATACTTAATTTTAGGTCAGATCTGATTTTGCAATGAGGAAGCATGGCAGATGGAAACAAGTACTTTTTGAAACTGTGTAAAGGGCTGGTAATTCCCCTACCATCATTAGCAATGGATCGTATTAAGTATTTCCACTTGAGATCTGTGGTGAACTTGAGTCACAGTAACCGTTTATACAGACATCCTTCACACATAGTGTATTTTAGGCAACGCTCATATTGAAAAGATATGTTTTAGTAACAAGTAAGGACAAGCAAATATGTTAAGATTATCAATGACTTTTTCTTCGTGTCGAATTGGTCGTTTGATATCTGCTACAAATACATGCAATATTCTGAGTATCTTTTAACCATATTTGGTCATTTATATGGAGCGTGTACACAGTTAACAGTTCAGGGTGAAAAATATATGCAGGTGCTATATCAAGTAGACAGTTTAAGTTCTTCTGAACAAAATATATTAAATATTTTTAAGAGGCCCATGGTTATCATTTATTACATTGGAATCGTAATCACGATAGTTGGTCTGATCAATTAGATCGTTATTACGATCCCAATGTAATAACATATAACCATATAACCATGGAATATTAGTCTTTCTTTGTCTTGGACATAGAGCTCTACCTGGATTCTATCCTCTTGCATATATATATATATATATATATATATATATATATATATGTGGTGTGTGTGTGTGTATATATATATATTGACCACTTATATTATCTATCTATCTATTTTCTATCTCTCTCTCTCTCTCTCTATATATATATATATATATATATATATATATATATATATATATATCAAATATGTGGTGTAGTTCAATTTATATTACAATGAATCATACAAAAAGTAGATTAGTAAAGTTAATGATATAAAATTGCGAAATCCCTTCGATAACAAAATTTTAAAGGTGCATTAACCTACAAATTACTCGATGAATGTTATGATCCTTGTTTTTAAAAATTATAAGCTGTGTAAGGTCTTTCTTTAATACGCAAGTACTTTCAACTGTACATTCAGTCATCTTCAGTCATGGAAATTATTTTGTTCTTGGTAAAAAAACAAATTCTACAGTTTTTGGTAAAAAACAAATTTTTATTTTTACGAAGGGATTTCGCCATTTTATATCAGTTTATAAGTTTACTAATCTACTTTTTGCATGAATGATCCATTGCAACATGCATATATATATATATATATATATATATATATATATATATATATATAATCAATAACTAGATAAATAAAAACATTAATGATACCGGCCTTAAAACTAGAAAGAATATTCCTCCTGATATCTTCCATGGGACTAACAATAGAAGGAACACATTCAAGATGTAAAGTATTTATTAACTTCATTACTCCCCACTTTTCCCCTTTATCCACTTAATCATCTAAAATGTCTTTTTGTAATCTTTGACAGTTTGACATCTTAATATTTTTATTCATATTTTTGTTGCAATGGCTGGTTTCTCTTTTGTTCTTTTTTCTTTCTTTCTGAACGTTGACAGGAGATGAATTCTCCGTTGTTCTGCAACATCAGCATGAGTGACTATTTTTCTGTTAATTCCAGCATTTCACTGACATTCACTCTCATTTCTGTTTTTACTTTCTAAAAGTTTATAACTGATAGATCGTAAACAATCTTTTTCAAACATTACATCAAATTAGAAAAGAATAACGATTCTGAAGAATGCATTTAAGAATATCTGTTTAAAAAGGCATGATGTAAGACCTGCATATGCCGCTTTTTGTTACATTCACATTGTTTCAGTCAATATAATCTCCTGACATCTTCAGTTTTCCGTTCTCCTATTCAGTAACTTTATAGAAATTTCCTGCCAATCGCTTTATTTATTCAACGGGAGCATATCGTCCAACTACGCATTCCATTTCATAACAATGACTATTCGCCGATTCTTTTCACTTCTTGCCGCTTGTGCGTTTCTTTCACTGAAGCAATAACACATGTCGTCGTCGATCAAATCATTGGTTAAAGAGTATTCGCTTCCTTGGTACTTGTTGGTTCCTACCATATATTTGGTTCTGACACATTCGGTTCTGATGGATGGAACGGACATGTGAGTATTACTGATTTGGTTTAACTACTATAACGATTTCTAAAGAATTAACAGATTCATTTTCATTCTAACATTTTTATAACTTTTAAAGCTATTACGGTAAATAGATCGTATTACAAAGGAACGCCTCTTTTTTTATTTATTAAGCAGTGTATATTGCATCTATCGACCTGCGCATTTGTGAAATCTTAAGAATCTGCCGGGAATACATTTTCTTTTAGCACAATTTTTCGAATGCGCAAGCGCTTTGACGTAATATATATATACTGTTAAATAAATAAAAATTGGACGTCTGTTTCAAATAAGAAAAATTCACTATAATAAAAGGTAAAATAATTAACTGATATAAAACGACCTCTAGGCATAATATACAGACAGCGAACGATGTTTCTCAGTGGATTGAAGAAAGGCTGTTTTGAGAATTCAAAATGTTAACTGATTATGAACAGATAATACTGGCGTAAAAATAAAAAAAAAACATCAAAACATTGTCTCTATAGAAACGTGGATGAACAATATGGGTATCATTTCTAAATTTACTTTTCTAAAAATTCCAAGAACTTTTGATTAAATACAAGTAAAATTGTCGTAATTTAAGCGAATCCTCCTCCCAAAAAAATAGGACCCCTAAATGAAGAAAAAAAAATCTAGTGTACATACACTTAGAATTACTACCCAAATATATACAGGGAGTCCCTAAAGTTCGTGTGCACTTCAAAAAATTATAACTTTATTTGTATTTGCGATAGAAATAATCTGTAAAATATGTTATAAAGTTTAATGTACCTAGTTTTAAGTATAGCTAAAATAACTAATGTCATTTTAGGCATTACTGTAAATCAGTTGTCAAATGTTTTCCGTGAACTGCAAATTCGTTTTACCCTTTGTATTGCTAATGATGGAGGACATGTGTAAAATTAAATAAAATTTAAATAAAACGTTAAAAAATATAGATGTACTTCTTTCGAAACCTTTTTACAATATAT